CCCAGTGGAGGTGGATTTGGGAGAGAACGTGGATTTGGGCAGAGAACGTGGATTTCCCCAGAACGTGATTGTAGACGGCTGGTGTGAGTTCGGGAATAAAGAGTTGCTGTTTGAATCTACAAGCTGTGTGGTGGCTCGTGATTGTGTGCCCAGCCAGACTGCGGCATTTGTGCCCAGCCAGACTGCGGCAGGTATCCAACTCCTAATGCATACATGGATCAGATTTCAAATCTTCCCTGACCTCCACACTCCTGGTCCCTTAAGTCACTTCCTAAAATAAACTATCTGCCTATAAGGGTGCAGCTCTGCTCTTAAGAGAAACCAACTTAACACATGCAAGAGACGCTAAATCCTGCCCAAGAGAGAAGAAGGAGGCTGGAAATACAGAGGGCTCATTGATACCCAGAGCATTCCAGGCTGTCCCTCAAGACAACAGCCACTGCTCAAGGTTCAAACAGCTGCGCATGACTGAGAACAAGTCATGTCCAAAAAACAATTTAAGATCCTCTGTGAGACACTGGGAAAAAAAAGAGAAGGAAAGCGAAAGAAATGAGGATTGCAACAAGCATGTGTATTGCAAATGTTTAATAATAATAATAATAATGGAAAAAAATAAATGAGGGTTGTTTAACTTGAAGAAAAGAAAACAAAAATGGTTAACAACTGACTTCATTAAAATAAAGGGGTGGTTCCCGATGTTAGTCTTAGTAAGAATGCAGGGAGGTAGGATTAAACTGGGGCTGAGGAGACATTTTAACCATGTTTGCTGACAAGGGAGAGATTGGCATCTCCTGGTGAAGTTATGAGTTCTCATTGCAAGAGACACTCAGCTGGTAGCAGAAAACAAACTTACTGGGAACAATGTGACTGGGATTCATCTTTAGAGAAACGCTTTTAAATTTGTCTCAAGATACTGTTTTAAAAATCATGGAGTCTTGGACTTAGGGTGTAGCTCATTGGTAGAGTACTTGCCTAACCTGCATGAAGCCCTGGGTTTGATCCCCAGCACCACAAAAAATGGGTGGGAAATCAGAGAGCTTTGGGAAATTAGGATTTTGCTAGTATAGCTCTGCCTCCTAAAGAGGGATTATTGATAGATCTGTGACCTCATTCCCCACCTCCCCAACACCAGTAGTGCAGTGCCTTACAAAACTGAATTGCATTTTAGTCTTGATGCTCTTTTCCCATGGTGGGCTGTTTACTCGTGAGGTCTTGGCACCACCTAGTGGCTAACTTATTCATTACAACATATGTCTGACCTGCAACGTAGTAGTTTACTGCAAACACCCTGGTTGATTTATCAATTCAACAAAAAGACACAGTATAGGTTAAGCACTGTGCCAGAACCTGGGGTTAAAGAATAATCAAAGAAGACATGGTCTTGCCTTCTTGAGGTTCACAGTCTAATGGAGTAGATGAACAAACAACAAAAATTTAATGATTATGCATTGTAATGTCATCAGAAAATAAACCTGCCGTGGGACAGAGGATAATGTAGGCAGAAAGGGCATATTTTAAATTGGATAGTCAGAGAAACTACCCCAAGAAACGAAGCTCAAGCTGGGGAGGATGGGACAGGGTAGCTGAGAACATTCCATGAAGGCAGAATGTAGCATGTGCAGAATTGTGGAGGGGCCCAGGGCTCAGCTGTAGGAGATGATGAAAGATCAGGGCACTCAGAGCACAGTGAGGGAGGCCCAGGGGAACACGATGAGCCTGGAAACTAGGAGAGTATCGTGTCTCTAAACATTTCCTTGGGGAAGGAGGGGTAATACCTTGATGTGAACTCACCCATTTGTTCAACTCCACCAGGACCCCAACTGGGAACATCAATAATAGCTGCTCCCCATGAGAAGAAAATTACCTCTAGATAGGGAAAAGAGGTGGGAGGGAAAGGGAGGGAGAAGGGGAATTGCATGGAAGAGGGAAGGAGACACCCTTCGTTATACAGAATACAGGTATGACGATGTGAGGAAAAAAAAAAAAGAAGTGGGTCACATTAGATTGGGTAGAGAGAAGTGATGGGAGGGGAGTGGAGGGGAAGGGGGGAATAGAAGGACAGCAGAATAAAATAGACATTATTATTGCTGTCGGTATATATGTGACTGCATGACCAATGTAATTCTGCAACCTGTACACTCAGAAAAATGAGAAATTATATCCCATCTGATTCAAATGTAAAATAATAATAATAATAATAATAATAGCTGCTCTGTTCTCAGAGTTCCTATTCCTGATAAGCTGTGTCTTTGGCTGATTACAGGGAAATCTCGTTTTAAAATTCAGGATAGTGGCTCTCAACCTGGGCCACAAACTATCAGAGAGCTCTTAAGAATTCCAATGTCCAGGCCACAGCCCTAACCAGTTAAAGCTGCATCCCTGGGCTCCCAAGGTGATTCCAATGTGCTGATGAATTTGAGAACAACTGACCTGGAGAGATGCTTGCCAAGCAGGGTGGGGAGAGAAAGAAAGAAAACACCTCACCTGGTACTCCCAAGTAGTGAAAGTTATATATGAATAATGAGCCAGGCTGTTTTGTGTGTGTTTGGGTTTTTTCCCCCAAGAGCAGGCCCACTTCCCAGTGGAAAGCACCAGTCAGGGCCATCCTGCCCTCTGCTTGATGCTAATTAAGTTCCACCTGGACACTTCACACTGCGGTCAAGAGCCCCTGGGAGCTGATGTTACAGGAAGGTCAGGTTTCACACTGGCAAGCAGGTCTGCTAAGGCACAGAATTATGAGGTTTCCATGGCCTCCTTATTCATGCACATTTCCCCAGGGTCAGAGGGTTCAAATAGCCAGACCTCCTACAGCAGCAGATCCAGTCGCAGTGGCCTAGGGGGCTTTTTAAAAATACTGATGCTTAGACCCAATTCAAGATTGATCTGGTTGAGGTTTGTACTATCAGCTGATTCTAACATGCAGCTGAGATGGTAAGCCACTGTTGCCAAACAAAAGACAGCACCTGTGGTCCCTCATGTTTGGGGAGGCCTGCAGTAACTAGAACCTCTGTGTCACTGGGGTTGCTTCCCAAGTGACCTACCAATAGTACTATTTTTTATTATGTGTTGAATGTTCCTTATCCAAAATGCTTGGTACCAGAAATATTTCAGATTCTGGATTTTTTTTTATTTCGGAATATTTGCATATATATGAGATATCTTGGGGAGGGGATCAAAGTCTAAAAATGAAATCCATTTGTCTTATACACACTTTATACATATAGCCCAAAGCTCATTTTACACAGTATTTTTAGTGAATGTTTTGTTAGTGAATATATCACGAGGTCAGTCGTGAAATTTTCCAACTTGGCAATGTCAAGTAAGTATTCAAAATGTTTTGGATTTAGGGGCACTTCGGATTTGGGGACATTTTTGGATTCTGGATGCTCAACCTGTATCTGGTAAGCATCCCAGTCCTGAATCTAGCTCTGTACTCTTCAGGCCTTAAATTGGCCATAAGCACTTACAACTATTTCCCAGAGGCTTGGGAGCAAGAACTCACCCTAGGCATGTGGCATGGAGAAAGCAATGCTACATTTATATGTAAAGCACCATTTCCTATTATTTCCAATAAAAGGCCAATTAACATTAGGGTTCATGCTAATCAAGCTTCATAAGGAACTGGCAACATGAACCTAGGCTACACTTGTATGAGATTTCATTTAAGCAACTACTTTTTTTTCATTTTTTTGTTCTTTTTAGATATACATGACAGTAGAGTGTATTTGACATTATTCATACATAGAGTGTAACTTATTCTAATTAGGAACCCATTCTTGTGGTTGAGCATGTTGTGGAGTTACACTGATTGTGTGTTCATATATGAACATAGGAAGGTCATGTCCGATTCATTCTACTGTCTTTCCTATTCCTATCCTTCCTCCCACCCCGTCATTCCCTTTTAACATTTTTTTCTTAAGAGATAACCCACTGGGCGCCATGGCAGATGCCTGTAATCCCAGCTTCTCAGGAGACTGAGACAGGAGGATTATAAATTCAAAGACACCCTCAGCAATGGTGAAGGGCTCAGCAACTCAGTGAGACCATGTCTCTAAGAAAAAGAAAAAAAATAAGAGATTACCCACATATATTTTCACACCAAATGGATATGCACCAGAAAGGTTAAACTGTAGTTACATCAGGGTAGTGAAATCCAGGTAATTTAAATTTTTTCATTGTTGGTGATCTTCACTGTTTTTTTATGATGAATATGGATGATAGATATAGCATTATTTAAGTAAAACCAAAAAGAAAAAAAAGCTAATCACCCAGAAAAAACTGCATGTAACTGATCTGAGTGTTCAGCTCACAACTCTTATTAGGATACTTTCTGACTTAGTGGACTGTGAAACCACTGTCCCCTTAACAAAAGAACAGGACCATGTTGTATTTTGTGGCTATGTGACTAGAGTGCAGCAGGCACCTGACAAGATGAAAATAAACATGTTAATCAATTCAGAGGCTATAGAGAATAAAGCCAGTCCCAACAATCTTTGTTTTTGGTCAGGGATATGAATTCTTTACTGAATGTGTGCAGATTCTATTAGATTTTCAAGTTATATTCTGCAAAACTAATGTTTTCTGGACAATAAGTACCAAAAAAAAAAAAAAAAAAAAGTGTTATAGACAAGTCAGAAAAAGATTCCTTTCCTGAAGAGATGCAGGATGTTGGCAGCAGATATTCATTGTGGATCTGCAACAGGAAGATGTCCTATCCCTCTTCTCAAGTTTATTTAGTCATGAAACACCTTTTTCCACAGACCAACTATCCTTTCAGCTTGTGACTCTTTGACTTACCACCCACACAGCAGAGTAACTGAAATGTGACCTGTCCCCTGTACCCACAGCAGAGCGGCAGGCCCCAGGTGCTATACAGAATGCGGTTAGGCAACACTCGGCACATTCAGACTTCTGTCATCAAGAAAGCTAAGCCACTGATGAAGTGGCTCAGAGCCTCGAAAGCAATGAGAAATGGTCCAAAAAATATTCACAACTGAACATCAGGTGGTATTTTAATTTATTCTGTTTACAGACAGCACTTAGATACACTATTTTCCTTGATCTCATTTGTTGTTGGACACAAAGACACTGAGAAGCTTGGTGAGAGGAGAAACATCAGCCATTCATTGGCTCAAGGGCTTTCCAACTACTGGAAGGCTTGCTGGGTTGTCCCCAACTCATCGCCCCCAAAGACTGCAAAAACACAATGCATTTATTTACATGAAATGATGCCTAATGCACGTGTAAATTCAAAACATATTACTCAGGCTCTGTTAGAAAAAAGGATGGCAGGAAGTAAGGGACTGAAGTAGATAAAGGTTAATGAGCCACCAAGTTTCTCCAAGTGAAAAAAGCAATCATAGCCTGCCATGGGGCAGGATAAGAGATTTCTTGTGCCCTGCTCAAGACCTGCAGTGGACAATATGACTGCATGGGTGGCATTTTGAAAGCAGATGGTCATTTCAGTCATCACTTTGCAGAGGTAGCTACTGTACCATATAGCCACGCTGACCAAAGCGTGTTCCTAAGGATACTGATCCCACAAAGTGCTCCTTAGAAAAGGATTCAGGGATCAAAAAGATTTTTATAAACACTTTACACTATTATCTACTTTTGGACTCTCTCTCTCTCTCTCTCTCTTAGAATATGCTCTAAGAATTCTCCTTTATGGCTTTGAGGAATTCTTTACAGAAACAAAAATAAAAATTTTTTACTTAAAAAAAGTTAACTCCTAGGATCTCATGTTGGTTAACATGTGATCAAGGTCACACGTTGGTCAAGTTCATAAAGTCACAGACCTCTTTAAATTCCAACCCAACACTTTTATCATATACAGGCAGCAATAAATTGTCTGTTATTTCATTCTTTATGGCACAAGGTACTCGGCATACTGATTACAGTACAGGTTTGAGCATGGCCCATACAGGGCTGATATCTCACGTACAGAAGCCAGATGTTTATAGTCTCTTCCTCTTTATTAAACAGCTACTGCTGCTTATTACATGACTATGAGCTCAAACGGACCTCACAGCTCTTTGCTCCTAACAAAAAAGGGACAATAAAAAGTAAAGCTTTAATAATACTTTCCAGCAAGAATTACGCAAACAAAAAAATCATAATAAAAAGCTTTTGGCCACATATACCAGACAATTACATAGCAAGGGCAGGGAGAGATGAAATGATGTAAATATTTCATCATTTCATAATATATATATTCTTAATTCTTCTTTTCAAGGAATTTCACATGATATTTTGAAACAGAAGACAAGGAAAGCAAGATTCCAACTGTGGGACTTTGTAAATAAAATCACCTACGCCCTGCTAGGTGGTGAACCGGCACTCAGACCTCAATGGCAATCCTGGCAAATCGGTACTGCAGGGAGGCGGGAGGCCTCAGCAGCACCAGGCCCCTTCCAGCTGCCGGCTGCCTGGGCAGCATGTCCAGCAATCCTGTCAGACTTACGAACCCCAGAGCTTCTCCACAGCCAACGGCCATGGAAAAATCTCCCTGGGTGACAAAGCCTAGGAGGATTCTGGAACAGTGGGTGATCATACCCGGGAGGGGGCCTGGCCACAGCCCCAGAGTCAGAGCTCCCTGCCCAGCAGCAGGGGTCTCTACTGCCAGGCCCTCGGAAGCAGCAAACTCTCGGTTCTGCCTCCTCTCCATTTTCTTCTTCTCTTTCTGTTTCAGGATCATGCTCTTGAATGGATCACTGTGTCTGGCTTCCTGGGGCCCACAGTAGTGCTGATCCTGGCTGAGTTGGAGGAAGTCCTCCTCAGTTGGGACACAGATCATGGTGAGTGGCTCAGGGCTGCCCTTCCTGAGCAGGGACAGGCTGACCCATACCAGGGCCCTGGGAAAGTGGTCCAAGATGGACAGGCGGGCCTCTGTGGTCAATTCTTGCTGGCCTCTACTGGCAGCCCACCGGACCACCCGATTGTTTTCAGAACTGGGCCCACACCAGGCTGACAATTGCTTCAGTAATTTCCTACTCCTACAAGAAGTCAGAGACACACATTTGAGGATATTTTGTTCAAAGAATAAAATCTTCAAATAGAAGATTAGGCATTGCTAGAGTTAATTTGATTTTTAATACTGCAACGTGAGAAAGTATCAAAACTACGATTTTTAAAAAAACTTAAAATACACATTAAGATATTTCAGTAACGGGGGGATATGGCTCAGTTAGTAGAGTGCTTGCCTTGCATGCACAAGGCCCCGGGTTCAATCCCCAGCACCACACACAAAAAAAAGATTCTTCAGTAACAATATTTTTCTTTTTATGTACCTGATATTCTGAAACTGAAGGATTAAAGGTTTAAGAAGTTGAAGGCTGAGAAAAGTCAGAGAGTGGGATAGAAAATACTAGAAGTGTAATCACAGTGAGAAGATGAGAATAAAGAGGAGCTGATATTTTTATAAGAAAGACCTGAAGAGACAGTATATATAAAGTAAGAAAGAAGATTATGAAATCATGAGATTAACTACACAGAAAAATAAGTATGAGCCAAGAGAAGTGAGCACTTTTTTAAATCAGAGCATATTGCACAGGGTATCTGATAAACAGAACTTTATCTGTAGAAGCACCAAGGGCAGAACACATTTCATGTGGAAGCTGCTATAAGATCACGTTTCCCTGAACAGGCTGCTAACTCCCACAAACCCATATAATTCAAAAGGAGCTAGAAGAGCGCTAATCAGTGATATAAAGCAAAGAAAGCCACTCTATGCACAGAGTGCCTTGTTACCTAGGGTCATGCAATGAGGGTATTTCTTTGTGAGCAAAGACTAAATGCAATAGGTCACAGGAAAAACTGACTAGGTCTAGGACTGTGGATGACAACATTTTCAATCAGGTCATCAGTTAGCACCATGCCTCAATCAAGTATCTAATTAAGGTGTCTTCCTGGGCCCTCTATGAAACATCAAAGGACTGGCTTTCCTTTCCAGAAAGTCCATAAGTTCACGTGGGATTTGCATAAAGGAATAGTGATAACTTTCACACCCTGTAGCCTGTTCAACATGAACATAAGCAATCCAACATGCATCTAGAAGCCACTCGCACTCACCTGAGAACACAGAGTTGACTACTGGTGGCAGCATCATGGTTCTCACCAGCACCCTGGTCTATTACCGTCCCAGTTTCTGCCTGGTCCTGACACTCTGTGTCCATGACTTCTGGGTCCCCACGGTCATTTACAGATGTGCCCACTTCAGACTGATGAGACTTTTCAGGAGCATGAGGCATCCAATGTCTTTTTAGGTCACCCTCCTCACCACATGGAGACGAAGCAACAGAAGACACATCTCGGGCACGGACTCTGGACTCCCAGTCCTGAGTTAACTGCTCCCAGGGACAGCAGAAAGGTGCCAGTGTGCCAAGTTTAACATAGTTAGGTCGTTTGGCAGGAGGGCGTCTAATGAAAAATGAAGAGAGAACTGATTCTCAACAACTGAGAAGTGGGCAAGGCAATTAAAATAATCATCACCATCATAATACATTTTTATTTAAACAACAATCACACAAAAATGGCTTTCCAAGGAATGTATAGGGCTGGGGGCATGTCTCAGTGGTAGAGCGCTTGCCTGGCATGTATGAGACACTGGGTTCAATCCTCAACACCACACAAAAATAAATAAATAAAAGTATTGTGTCCATATACAATAACAAAAAATTTTTTAAATGTATGATAAAGAATAATAGCCAACTCTACTGGTCAAGTTCTTTTGTTTTCTTTGGTATTTAATAGATACTGCACCCACAAAGTAGTCCCATGTGGCTACTGAACAACCCCAGGGAGGACCATTCCTGAGAGCTCCAATTGCATGGTGCCCTGGAGTTGTGCAGTGATGTTCCTATACATTCACAAGGTTCTAAGTTCAAGGTTATAGTGAAGTTTCTTTCTCATTCCTCACCTCTAGTGACCCTACTGCCCTCCACGAAGACAGCATCATTATCAGTTTATGTACATGCAAATACATATGTACTTATTTCTTTTCACTTATCTTTATACAAATGGTGGTATACTAGATACGGTACTTTTTGTTAACTTCACTTTTTCTGCTTAACAAACTATCTTGGAGACTGTTTCATATCAATACATCAAGCTCCCTCATTCTTTTATAAAAGGCTATGTATCTTTTCTACCATATGAATATACCTTAATCTATTTACACAGTCCTCTATTAAAATACTTTTGGTTATTTTCACACTTTTGCTTCTACAAACAGTTCAGCAATGAATGACTGGGAACATGCACATGCACAAGGCATATCCATAGGAGAAGCTCCTAGCAATGGAACTAAGGCAAAGAATAAAAGCACTTCAAAATTTGACAGATACTTCCAAACTTCTTTTCACAACAGTCACACTAAATGACCTTTCTAGCAATGTGTGAATGAGGAAAAGCCTTTGAAAAATACTACAAGCTAATGAAAATCAGGCCTGACCAAGAAGTAGGGAATTGGCCTGCTGTTGGCTCTACTGGCCTGGGCATCTTAAGACTGCATCCTTAGGTTGTCGGATGATCTACTCTGAGACAGGCCCATACAACCCTCCCCTCATTTACTTCTTATTATGTGCTGTGTTCTGATTCTCCCATGGAAATGATCCTGTAGGCTTAATCGGGCCCACTGAGCTAGACTCTCAAGGTTGAATCAAATGTGTATTGGCTTTCTGAGAGGCACCTGCCCCACCCAGACATCTTTCCAAGTCCAGAGAGATAACAACAGCTGCCTCTCTCAATTCCTCAAATAAGAAGCCCATCTATACATAGTGTATGTAGTGCTGCAACTTGGTTAAGCAGAACACGATAATTCTTCAAACCTTTAAGTTCTATAAATCCATATGAAATATACACACATTTTGGGTAGACTTTTTTTTGTGTGTGTGGTGCTGGGGATTAAACCCAGGGCCTTGTGCATGCAAGGCAAGCACTCTACCAACTGAGCTATATCCCAAACCTTGGGTAGATTTTTAAAGAAAAAAAAATATGTCCTTGGCTAGGGATGTAGTTCAGTGTTACAGTGCTTGCCTAGCATGCAGGAGGTCCTGGGTTTGAGCCCTAACACTACACACACACACACACACACACACACACACACACTCCTTAATCCCATGAAAAAGGTATTTAAGCCATTTCTTCCAAAATTTCATATTTAAGTAAACAGACACTAGGTCATAAGACAGAAAGGGTTCATGTTTGACTTGTTCTCTCTGCTTTCAGTATACAGCAATATTGGATAAAGAAAGAAAATACAGACTGTAGGAAGTAGGGGGTGGGGTTTGAGTCAGAAATGGCTTCCTGTTTGGCAGTACCATCCTACTTTAACTAACATAAATTCAATAAAGGCTGGAGTGATAACAATAACAATAGCTAATACTTACTGAACACTTACCACTCTGTTCCAAGTGCTTCATTCATCTAAACTTATTCAATCCTTGTGCAGCCACTGCCTAGGGTTTTCACTGAATGCATTTTATCTTCCTCCTGAACACTGCTTTCCTTATGGCCAAATGGACCAGGCCAATAGAATGTGAGTGGAAGTGACCTGCTCATCATTTCTAGGCCTAGCCCATATTCCCCTATGCTCTTCCCCAGCCAGCTGTATGCAAAGACCCTGAGTGCCCAGGTAAAACCAAAGGATAGAAGATCCCCAGATCTCTGGAACCCCATCCCCTGATCAAGAACACCACATTCAATTATTCCACGAGTGAGAAATAAAATATCTTTGTGTTAAGCTCCTGACATATGGGGTTTGTTTGTTCTAACGATTAGCACTACCCTCATTAATATAATTCTCACAGCTGTCCACGGGATAGGTTCCTATCTAAACTAAGACCCCAGAGCTGTTAGTGGTTGAGTGAAGATATGAACCTAGGTAGTATGGATGCATTAACCACTGCATTGTAATGTCCTTTAAACAGACATCTTGCAATTGGAAATGACTTCCTAAGCAGAACACTAAAGTCTAAAACATCAGAAAAAATGTGTTAATATATGCACAAATTCAAAATTGTAAAGCAGATAAAGCAGGGAATAATATTTGCAATATATATGAGAAAGGAGAAAGGAGAAAAAAACACTTAAAAATCAATAAAGCAGGGCTGGGAATGTAGCTCAGTGGGAGACCACACACCTAGTATGTGTGAGGCCCCTGATTCAATCCTCAGCACAGGGAAAAGGTGTGGGGAGGGGGAGGAGAAAGGAAGGGAAGGAGAGGGAGGGATGAACGGAAGAAAGGAGGGAGAAAAGGAAAGGAAGGATAGATAAATGCCAAGAGAAAAAGAAACAAAATAAATAAATGAGTAATTTATAAGAAGCATAAAATAATGAAAAACATAAAAATATCTAACCTCACTAGTTAATAAAACAAAACATTTAAGACATCATTTCTCACCTTAGTTGGCCAATATTAACAGGACAACAGCCCACACTGGTGAAAGTGACAGGAACCGTTCCCCTCGCTACAGGTGAGATCCTAAAGTCAGTACTGAAACAACGGGCACGGTAGACTAAAAGCCTTAATATGGACAACTTTTTTTAAAACCAGGTATGTCACCTACAGGCATTTAGCCCAAGGTCTGTTCTTGCTGTCCTATAGCCCCTTTCCAACAATGGCTGTTTCCTTCTCACTGCCCACGGTCCATGGTGGGCAGATGGTCTTGATATGCCCAGGCCACTTTTTTCCTTCCTTTTCTTCCTGATTCCAGTTTCCCTGAAGCATATGCCATCAGACAAGCCACAGGCTCGCTCTCCTTGGTCAAGTCCTCTACCAAGTTCCCAGGTGCCCCATTTACCAGCCACACCCCCTTCCCCTCCGCCCCCAAAACACTTAATGTCACTTCCAGTGGCCTCGGCATCTATAGTCATCATCCTTCCAGTGCCCTGGGGCCTCTGTACTTCACTACTTTTACTTTATCTCACCTCAAGCACCCACACCCCTGGCCGTCCCTCAGGTTTGGTCATTGCCAACTCTGCTCCACCTTAAAATCTCAATTTTATGCACATCACTCCTCTACTTTCAGCCCACTTACCCTACCCCCATTCTTCAACCACTGGAGCCTCCTATTAATCTTTGCTACCACTTCTCTGTGATCCTCACTGTTCCCTCATCCCTGCTGTTGGTTACAACTCCAGGGATCACGGGACAGTCCCTCCATTATATGGGCTCTCAACCCTCTCCACCTGCAAAGCCCATGTCCATTAAGTGACTTTCCAGTGTGCCCAAGTCAGCACCCAACTGACAGAACACAGCTGGGGAAGAACACATGGTAGTCCTGAATCTTACTAAAGAAACACAAAACTCAAGTGGATGCTCTCTTAGCCTTCTTCTGAATCACTTATATTTCTCCAGCCAATTCAATCTTCCACTCTCTTAGAAAACTGTTTACAATTCCTCTCTCCTTAAATCTCCGACAACCCCGCTCCCTTTCTTGCACCTCACACTCTGTTCACTGAGAAGACAGTCACAATCCAACGTGTGCCACCTAATCTCCCCCACAGAGTCTAAGGAACCTAGATCTGGAGTCAGACTGCAGAGTCCACCCTCCAACTATGAAAATGGAAGAACCGAGACCAATCCTATCAGGGACCCCCCTGCCCTCTCCCGGATCCTCCCACCAGCCCAGAAACATGTGATTCCACCAAGAACAGAGTCTCTACATGATCATGAGTCCACAAAGGCAGGAACACACTTTGCTTCATCCCTGCTGTAATCAAGAATCGTACCAGACCCACAGCAGGCTCTAAATAAGCATGTGAGAGATGAGTAAGTCCCCAGAGAGACGTGTACAGACAGATGTTCACGGAAGCATCCAGCAAGATATCGGAAATAACCAAAAGGGCCACTGGTAAAATACAGTACATCCAACTCTGCAATCCTAGGGACTCACTCAAGCTGTACTCTGAGTGACAGCCAGCAAGCTATGTGACTCACAGGCTGAATCTGGCCCATATCTTTTTTTGTACAACCCATGAGCTAAGAACAGTTGTTACGTTTTTAAATGGTTGCAAAAAGGAAAAGTAATATTTTACAACACATGAAGATTATATGAAATTCAAATTCAAGTGTCCACAAAAAAACGTCTGATTAGAACACAACCACACTCATTTGTTTTTATGTCATCCACGGCTGCTGCTTTCATGCCAAAATGGCAGCATTTACTATCATGGAGACGAAGGGCCCACAAAGCCAAAAATATTTACCATCTGACCCACTATCAAAAAAGTTTGCCAACATTTAGTTTAGAGTCATATTTATTAAAATGGGGAAACTATCTACAATATGCTGTTAAATGGAAAAGGCAGATTTCAAAATAATATGATATAATCCTTTTATTAAAAAATTTGTACCAATGGAAAATGTACATGCACTAAAAAGTCTATATAGTGAAAAACAGTATTATCATCATTATTATTTCACAAACACATAGAGGACCTCAACTGTGTTTTATGGGAGGACACAGGACATACAGCAAGAGGCCATTACCCTCAAAGAGCTGGTGAGCTAGCTTTTCAGGAATGTATCACCATTCGTCCTATCAGCTATTTACCTGTCCATCAGTCAAGGAACTACAACATTTGATTATTCCCTCATTCAGCAGACAAAAAATAAATTTTTTTTTTTTTTTAATGAAAGCTATTAAGGCCTACCATGCATCAGCACTAGCTACACATGGAGGATGCCACAAGAAATGAGAGGGGGAAGGCGGGCATGGTGGCACATGCCTGTAATCCTGGTGACTTTGGAAGCTGAGGCAGGAGGATCACAAGTTCAAAGCTAGCCTCAGCAACAGCAAGGCGCTAAGCAACTCAGTGAGACCCTGTCTCTAAATAAAATACAAAATAGGGCTGGGGATGTGGCTCAGTGGTCGAGTGCCCCTGAGTTCAATCCCTAGTACAAAAAAAAAAAAAAAAATGAGAAAGAGAGTGTGAGAGAGTGCACGCACAAGTGCACTTCTGTGCTGGGAACTTACAATTAGTGGGAATACAGATTTCTAATGTTCATATGTACTTCCCTACATAAATGAAATAAAGGCCCTCATTTGTTCATCTCTAAAGAAGGACACAAAAGGAAAAAAGTTTAGAAAATAGATACTAAATATAAAGAGTGTTGACTTCACCAGATGGCAGGTCTACTTCAATTTATAAAGAATTTTTTACATATTTCAATAGTTTTCTTAAAATTTTATAAATAAAACTGGGTACAGTAGCACATGCCGGTAATCCCAGCAGCTCTGGAGTTGGAGGCGGAGGATTGCAAGTTCAAAGCCAGCCTCAGCAATTTAGTGAGGCCCTAAGCAACTCAGTGAGACCCTGTCTCTAAATATAACATTAAAAAAGGACTGAGGATGTAGTTCAGTGGTTAAGCACTCGTGGGTTCAATCACTGGTACCAAAAAAAAAAAAAAAAAAATTATAAATAGGTATTGCTTTTATAAACAGTTCTTAGAAAGTACAGCTTCCATGGAGTCGGGGAATGGCATGAGAATCTATTGGCAAGTGTCTAAAACCCAGGTCCACAGTTCAGGTGGCAGCAAATAACCAGGAGGAAAGTTGTAACCCAGATGGGTCAATAAAAACCATTTACATATAAAACAATCTTGTGACATAAGTAATATCTTCTTCCTTACTTCCTGCTGACCCAGAACTCAAGGCAAGCCTGTGAAGACTCCACATTACACATCAGGAGCTACTGCAGCCTCCTCCCAACTGCTCATCAGGGAGCGCCCGCACTTCTCATCCCCTTACCATTACAGACTAGAAAGGGCAGCACCTTACCTTTTGTACTTTTCCAGGAGATTCTTGGCTTGCTCTTCAGCAAACAGAGCCCCAGCAGGACAGTCTGGGAAGTCACCCGGGATGTGAGGTAACCTTTTATACTGAGAATGCATTAGCGCCTCTTTTAACCCTCCAACTCTTGCACCTCGGTAGATCTAAAAGAAATATCAAGAGCTATTTTCAATTTAACCAACTTAAAGTGAAATTGCTTAATTGTTTGTAGGGGGAAAACGGGAAACAACATAATGTACATCAAGAGGAAAACAGATAAACATATGGTGAGATAATTCTGAAATCCATGGCCTGAACTTCTTCAACCAATGTGGAAAAAGCTCAGTATCGAGTGAACACACCAAGAAAGACAAGCATAAATACAATGAAGTATGTAGTTTAAAAACATGTCACATGTACTTATTTTACTGTGGGACACAAACATTCACAATGCCAGAATGGTGATTATTTCAGGAGAAGGAGAAATGAGATTGGAGAAAAGGACAGAGTACTTCCAGGGAATCTGTATGTTTTATTCTTCAGCTGGATGGCAGGTGAGGGATGCAGGCATCCATTATATTAGTATCTTTTCTTTTTTGTATGCTTGAATTTCATAATTAAAAAATTAAGTGGAATTACTTTAAAGTATTCCCACTCCTGGATTTCATTAAATGAATGTCCCTTGTACTAAGCACTAATGGCTAAAAATTAATTACCTACATCAATCTAACATTCTAATATGCCTTTTACAATTTCTAGCATCAAAGTATATTTATACTAACCAGAAAAAAAAAACAGAATAGATTTTAGTAAAAAATTTAAAATAAGAGTACTATGGGCTGGGGTTGTGGCTCAGTGATAGAGTGTTGCCTAGCATGCACAAGGCACTGGGTTCGATCCTCAGCACCACATAAATGTACAATAAAGACACTGTGTCCACCTAAAACTAAAAAATAATTATTTTTTAAAAATAAGAGTAAAAAAGTATATTCTATATATCCATGAAAGTTGTCTTTTGCTTTTAAACTATGATGGATTTCTTCAAGTTAAAAACACAACGTTTTGTTGCTATTAGTAAAAAACTCAAGCCACCTTTAAAAGCTTCAAAAATTTATGATATGTCACAACAGGTCTTAGTAATGAGAATCTAGCTCCAAGGACTGTTTCCATGAAGTATCCATATCCCAGATTATAGATCTAAGGGCAGAAATATACCACTCAGATTCTAAGTTGTACCCAAAGTCTGGCACTTAGTATTTATTAGGGATGTATTTTAAATGTTGCAACTGTTAGTCGGAATCAAAAAGTAACTTACCAATGGAATCCAGAAAGCCATGCCCCAGCCCTTTGGGAGTAGAACATCCCAGCCACTTCCCCAGCCCAGTCGCTCTTCACCAGTCACTTTTCCTGGCTGCTGAATCAAAAGGATAGGTATCTTGGATTCATGGGGACCTAAAACAAGCTGTGACCCAGGCACCAGCAATTCACTTCTCTTCCGGTTCAAATCCTGAAGTGGAAGAAAATAATTCAAGACAAACAAGTAAAAGAAGTAAAAAGTAAAAGAAGGTACAATTAATAACAACAATTGGAAAAGTACCCTGGCTTCTGAGAAAATTTCTCACCAGGCCTGAATGATTTAAAATAGAAGATGCTATATAAATGATTTGTTTAGCGGAATTTAAGGAGTGGATAACAACATACTTTCATTATTTCAAATATCTACTGAGCAAATATAGTGAACAGGCACTTTTCTAGAACCTGGGGAAAGTAGTACATGGCTCTAGCTCTCTTTCAACTGAAATTCTAAATCCAAGCTAAAATGTGAGAAGCTAATCTAAAAGTCTCCTTTCCTATTTTTCAACTTCCAGCCAACCACCAAGTCTTCTCAATTTTACTTTCTAGAAGGTATACTAAAAACCCCAGCTCTTCTACTCCAGCCACACTGCCACAATTCAGACTCCCATCATGTCATCATTGAAATAATCCCATCTGGATTATTTCAAGGCTCTCTTCTGCAGACATCCAAACCAGAGACCTCCTTCCAGATCCTAGCCACTCCCCATTCCTTCCCCTGTCTAATCCACCTATCACATGGCTGCCAGAGTGAAATCCCATCATGTTATGGCCTGCCTTGAAACCTTCAATGGTGCCCTACATCATCAGTCCAAAATCTTAAATGCCTCAAACTCTTTTATGCTCTGACCCCCATTTATCATTTCAGTTTCATCCCCTAACCCCCTATTGACTCCTAGCTCCTGACCTGCTAGGAGATACATAAATGGGTCATTTGGCCTGGGTCATTGCACACAATTGTTCTCATTTCCTGAAATCCTTTCTCTGCCGAAGCCTCAACCCTACCCACCAAGAAGTATGATTAATTTAATTCTGACTCCTATTTGAGAGTAAGTGCAAATACCAGCTCCACCATCCTGGAGGCAGTCCTCAATTTCTCTACTCTGGGTTCAGAACCCTTTTCAGAGGCTTCCTCAGTACCCTATACCTCAGCCACATTACAGTCCTCTATCCCAGCATCTAATACAACACCTGGCTCTGGTGAGAGCTCATTCACCATGAAATTAGAGACAGAGAACATTTAAGGGGGCAAAAATGATTAAAGAACAATGTATTTAAACCATAAGATTATCACTTTGATAAAAAATACATTTTCTAGAGATCATTCTTTTCTAAGAACAGAAAAAAAAATCACAATATATATCATGAATAAGGAATCCATAAAATGTTTGAAAATAAAGTCTGTGAGCCTCTGTAAGATACAAAATCACTTTTTATGGTCTCTAGAATGATAAATTTCAGCCATCATTCATGATTTTACCAGTAATCCTTACTCTATTAGTTACCTGATCCGAGATTTTATTCTCTGTGACACTCTTACAGATATCTTGGTTCCAGATAAAGCTATGCGTACACTCCACAGGCACACCCTCCAGAAGCAGCTGTCTAACTTTCTCATTATCTAAGAAGGAAAAGAAATATCCTTCAAACCACATCCTTAAATCAATGAATCAAACTCTAAATGCTGGCAATATACCTTTTATGACAAGAAAAATATTTGATAGGCTTTTATTTTATTTATATATTTTGGGAGTACTGGGGGTTGAACTCAGAGATGTTTTACCACTGATTTTTTAGTTTATCCAACCCTTTTTATTTTTCATTTTGAGACAGGGTCTCACTAAATTTCTAAGGCTGGCCTTGAACTTGTGATCCTCCTGTCTCAGTTCCCTAAGCCACTGGGATTACAGGTGTGTGCTACCACACCTGGCTTGATAGGCATTTATTTAACTACAGAACTTACTTGACAAGTTCTTAACAGTTGGTTTCACAGTTTATGAAGCCACAAAGGCTGCTAAGCTCTTTAATAATTATTTTCATGCATAGGAAGCAAGTATTGCAACATTACTCTAACTACTGAATTCCATGTTTAAGATAATTCTAAGAAATGTCTTCTTCTGCCCCTTATCTCAAGTCTCTCATAACCTATTTTTATGAAGCTATTTTTGAAAAAACATATTCCTCCATTCCCTTAAGAGGAGCATATTTTCTGTGAAACGTACGGTTTTGTCCCAAGGCATGCCACTCCAGAAAGTGCTCTACTGGATAAGGGGGAGTTTCAGTGATAAACACATATATTGATAGAAGATACTTCCTACATGCAGTTGTGTAATCACTAGGGGGGAAAAATCTTTTAAGACTAATTCTGCTGAATTGAATTTTTTAAAAAAATTAATGGTTAGACAAATCATGATTTTGGCTGATTCTAAAATGCCAACACAAAAACATCACTCAAAAGCACATACCTGTGTGGGTCTGATGGCTGGGAAAAAAATTAATTGGAAGTGACCAGGCCACAATGTGAGAGATTTCAGGGGAAAACAAAGTTGGAGAAAATTAAATTAACGAACAGCTCTGAGATCTAAATTGCTTATAAGCAACAACTGCTTCCATATGCTGCTCTTCCTCACACAGACACTAAACAACAGTCTCCAGCACCTTCTATGTGCTGTGAAGGTTCACATCCTATCTAGGAGTGGCAAGATCCCTTCCCAACAATCCTGGTGTACCCAGAATGCTTTGACACGGATCTGAGTGACAGAACTGAGTTGCAGACAAAAGAGATGGCTGATACTTAAGGTATAAAGGCACAGGCAAGCACTACCTCATCTTCAAATATTCTAGATGATAGAATACTATCCAGTACCAAAAAAGCAATAAGCTATCAAGTCATGAAAAGACAGGAAGGAATCTTAGGTGCACATTTATACCAAGAAAAAGGGACAAACCTGAAAAGGCAATATCTGTAAGACATTCTGGAAAAGGCAAAATTATGAAGACAGTAAAAAGATCAGGGTTGCCACAGGTTACCAGGTAGAAAGGCTACAGCCTTCAAATTAAATCTGCTTTATAAATTTGTATTCAAGTTTAAGTTGCCCAGCTGCTAAAGACATGGTGTGTTTTCAACCCAAAAGCAGAAACAGAGAAGTTATGGCAAAAATGAGCATTAACTGGGCACTCCTGGAGGTCAATTGCAGCTCTGGGCTCTAAAAGTGCTTGCAAGAGCTGTAAAAAGTAAAGGAATGATCTCCCACCTACCATTCTGGACTCTTCCCGTGCTATGGGTAGCAAAGTTACATAGCCAAAGAGTGCTTAAAGAGAAGGATTAAAATAATCCCATAAGCACAGTGTAAATTCAATATTTTTTTCTCCCCCCTTTTTTTTGAAGGGAAGAGGGTGATGAGGATTAAACTCAGGGCCTCACACTGCACGCTACCACTGAACTACACTCTAGTTCCCATTGACCAATGTTATTACAAATTCTTCTCTGGCAGACAGGGACGAGTTAAAATAATCTATCAAAGCAAATCAGTGAATGCTTAGGGAAACAAATAGGATAACAGAAAATATTGTACAGATTTGGGATTTTGGTGGTTTTTTTCACCCTACGTTGTTGGGTGTTGAGCCCAGGGTCTTGTGCATGCTAAACAATGCTCTACCACTAAGCTACATTCCCATTACCAGATTTATATTTTTAATTCTCACCTAGAAAGCCAATTACTCATATAGTGAAGTGCTATGTTAATGAAATTGAAAAAGATTTGCAAAACACATTCATAATACTAAATCTGAACTTAGGAACCTAATGATCAATTAAACTTTTTCAAAGCATCTGAGAATATATGTCATCACCTCAGGTTCTTCATGTACCTTCTCTTTAAAAAGCTCTCTAACTCACAATACGCACAAGAAAATCATTTGTCATTCACAGCAGGCAACACCTTCTTTATGGTTTAAGTCACACCAGAACTGATCTTCACCAGAACTGATCTTTTTGATCTAAGTCAAAATAGGCAGATATACAGACAGACTGAAACTGTTTTAAAATTAAGACTCTACAAGGATTGATTTTTTAGTTTACCCACCCCACCAAAATACACTTCTACCCCTTGTTTTGACTTGTTTTCCTAAATGAGATGTTACACTTATTAATAATATTGATATAATACTAAACCTTTAAAAAGTCTAATTCTTTATGTAGTTCATATATCTTCAAAGGAATTATAGTACTTAATACAGGTTCTAATGGAATGCCACTAACTAGATGGTTAGGTTTTATAGTGGAAATTAAATCATGTGTCTCAAAGCAGACTTTAATATTCCTGAAACTAATTCATATTAAGATAAAAGCCTTAGGAAGGTTTTAATGAAGGACTGCCTCATTCCAAAAAAGGATTTGAAGTAGCAAGAGAAACGAAGTAGAGCTCAGGTGGTTATGATAGCATTTAATAGCACAGTAGATGCTACAGATTTTATTGTTGCACTAGACCACATTGGTATTAAAAAAACAAAGACACAGTGACTCACTGATTAAAGTCTTAGGCTCCATATTAACTAACTTACCTATGCATGTTTAAACTCCACTCTCATGCTATCCACCTTTTATGTGAAGTTCTGACAGGGAGTTTATTACCCTTAGTAAGCTATCTAATTACATGTGAAAAGGTTAAAAAAAAAAAAGATCTAAAGTTGTTATGAACACATATCTGCATTTTTTCTCCCAAAATTCACAAGCTAATTTTAATTATTCTTCCAACTAATGGTGTTTAAATGATAGTAAATACAAGAAGAGATTATCATAACTGCTGCAAATCCCAGATTAGACTAAAATTTTAGCAAGCCCCACTTATACACCTACTCCCTCCTCCAACCAATGAGCTTCCTCAGGCATCTCTAATCAGTCAATACAAGAAATCTGATACTTCAGCACCTGGGATGGCCTTGCCAGGATTCGAACCTGGATCATCTGTATGGTCAAACAGAGGCTTCCACTGAGCACAAGACCAGCTGCGGGTGCAGATCCCTTCCTCACAATTAAAATTCTGAAACACCAGGCATTTCAGAGAATTCAGTTTGCAGACAGGTTTTACTAGATACTAAAAAATAGAGAACTCAGAAAAAAATTAAAAATGAACACAAGCTCCATGGTTTACAGCTGAAAGACACACTCCCATGTCCTCTGACCATAACTGCCTCATAGCAGAGGAAGGTAAAGATCCCCGATTTTTTAACACAGAATTGTTAACAGGACTGGACTGTGTTCAACAAAATGAGGGAAACCAGGGGTATTGCAAGCACTTTACCTTGGCATTTTTCTGGATTGGACAAAGCTCTGGATCGCTTTGGAGGCAAATTTATTCGTGGATCCCCAACTGTCAACCCCAGAATAGTACCTGCCGGAATTTCTGCCGGTGATGTTATTCCTTTAAACAAAACAAAAACAAAGTAAACAAGCAAAAAAGCAAGCTTATAGAGGTAATTCACAATACAAACATATATGCTTGTATTTTCAAATCTTTCAAATTTTCTAACAAAACTTTTTTGGACTAATTATTTTAAAAACATGTATTCCTGTCCCCCCCGCCAATTGATAATTTTAAAGAAGAACCTTTTTTTTTAAAAAAAGGAGTTTCTTGCAAAAAAAAAAAAAATTTCAACGAACATAAAAAAGGTTATTTTACAACATGAACACATAGGCTTCTCTCAGCTGTAACAACTATGACCACAAATAAACATGAGCAGTAACTAAGGATTTTTGGTCACAACCTGACATATGCATTTATTTATAATATCAGAATGCCAGTTATTTAGAATACTAATATCTCATGGGCTTGTTGTTTGGTGATTGCCATGTTTTGTTTGTTGAATTCAGGCACCTTCTCTACTTGCTTCTCTTGCTACATCACTAACAGCAGCAAGATAAATAAGACCACTCATCAGACACCCAGCTGCAACATGCTCTCCTAAACCACATGCCATGCCTCCCATCCTCCTAGTACAACCCAGCATTTCCTCCATGTACCTCCCAACAATTCAAAAACAGCTTCTTGTCTGTGATGAAGGGAAACACTATCAGGGTTTTTACACATATCACTCCACCAAAGGTGAGGCGTCTCCCCTGTGTCCTCTTCCCCCTGAAAAACAACAGCTTCTCTTCACCAGATGCATAATGAATCAGACTTAATAATTTTGTTATGATTATGTTATCAATACCCACCCCTTTTGTTTCTGTGTGTGGGAATGACTATTTCATGAAGGGTAGTAGGCAAGTTGCCACTGTTTTTCAAATAGTAATTAATGCCAGACTAAGTACTCTTCTAATTAGGAGCATGGTCATGGTATTACACTTCATGATTTTCAGAGACACTGCCTACCTAAGCTACTTTATACTCCCAGTCTCTCTCGAGCAAATTCCAACAAGAGGCCTTGTCCTCTTCTCTTATCATCGCCTTCATTACCTCCAACTTAAGAAAAACATATACCTCATCAAATAAAAACCAAATCTGTACCTGTAGATGTCATCTTCGAGTAAAGGATATATTACTACAGTAGTATTCTTAGAAATGTTGATAAAATGCACAAGCACCTCACTTTTCTAAAGAGAACAAGGAAATGAGCAAGGTTTCAAACAGCATGCTATCTCATGGGTGCATGCTAGGAGAACCACTGTCTGTGATTCATTTGGAGGTTCACTAAAGAGAACGTGTTCCTACAGATCCTACAGAAGCCACTTGTAAGACAGGCTCCATTCACTTCACAGAACTCAGGTAGCAAAGCTGAGCAGTCTGGAGTACAGGCTCTAGAACCACACTTTTTAGATTCAAAGTTCCACTCCAAAACTTATTAGCTACCATGGAGAACCTTCTCCATCTGGGCACTATGCTAAGCACCTAGGACAGACTAATAAGAGGACCAGCCTGCCCTTGCTATCATGAAGCTTACTCTAATAGAGAAACAGATGTTACATACATACACAAACACACCTGAGCAGATAAACTAAGGAAATACACAAGATGCTATGAAAAGAAAAGGGACATAATTTAACTTGAGGGATCAGGAAAGGATTACTAAGGGGAATGATACAAACTGAATGGGACAACTGACTCTTGAAGAATGAGGAAGGTTTATCCAAGCAGAATGATGAAGGCAGAATGTTCAGCAGGCAGGAAAAAAAACAGGTGCAAAGGCCTTGAAGGAGATGAGAAGTGACACATTCTAGAACCTGAAAGGCCTGCATGGCCCAAGTGTAGAAGCTGAGGGCAGGTGAGGCCATAGAAGCAAGAAAGCCCAAGATTATGCAGGTCACATTTAGAACTTTGGATTTCACCTTTAATATGATGAGAAGCTACTGAAGAACTTTTAATCAGGAAGCAACAAGAAGTGAATAAATTCCTAATCTAGTCTCCATGCCCCAGACCTGTACTGTCCAACACTACAGCCATGAGCCACAATAAGCCACTTAAAATTAATTATTAATTAAAATTAAATAAAGTACAAATTCAGTCCCTCAGTCACTCGAGTCACAGTTCCTGTGTTCATCAGCCTTATATGGCTCATGGCAATAATACTGGAAAGCACAAACCTTCCACAGGAAGTTCTATCCAAAGAAAGGTTATTACATTAAACTTTCTGAGAATCAGAGAAACTGACCCCAGAAAATATGCATCACTCATGTCAAACACTTAAAAACTGGCATACAATTTCAGGGATTTTTAGAGATGCCCTATTACCCACCCATGGAGCAGAGTTTAAGACCCTTCTACAAGACAGCTGGGAGAACAGTCAGTATGAGTCAGTATGTAAAAAAGAAGTCAGTTTACTATCATATCAATTAGATTTGGTCTTTTAGAAGTAAAAGATTAAAAAAAAAACAAAAAAACTTTGATAATAAGTAGGGAAATATCCAGGCACAGTAGCACATGCCTGTAATGTAGCCTCTTAGGAGGCTACGAGAATCCCAAGTTCAAGGTCATCCTGGGCAACTTAGTGAGACCTTTTCTCAAAATAAAAAAGGCTGGGGATGTAGCTCCGTGGCAGAGTGTCCCTGGGTTCAATCCATCCAAAAAAAAAAAAAAAAACAATGAAATGAATGTTTAAAAGCCACAGCCCAAGATGTTTTGAGACTATATATTAGATTTCACAAATTTGCCAGGAAAAACATAACAGTCACATTTACTCTTACAGTGTGCACGGAAGCAACTTTCAGGGCCTCAGTTAGGATACAGTGAGAAAGGGGACCGATCAGCCGGAATCTGTTCATCTCCATGGTCAAATCACTGCAAGAGAGAAAAGATCTTGAAATGGAAACTTCCATCATGCCAGTCTGTGCCACTGGCAAAAATGGGATGAATCTTTACTGAAAAAGTTCAGGAGGTTCACAGTGAATTCAACTCCTACCTGATCACAATACCTGTGGTTGGAGAGATCCAAGAATACGGCTGACATGGATCTCTAGTTCCATCACCAATAACTTTTTTAACTGATTTAGCATTTTCTCCATCATCTTTCCTTTTTCTCTTCTTGCCAATTTTCTCATCAGCCAGTTCAATTTGACTTTCTTCTTGGGATGGTTTCAGAAGTGGGTTAGGAGTACAGATTTTTGATTTGATGGGTTCCACGCACTGGCATACTGTTTTTATTTCCTCTAAGATATCCTAAGGATATAAACATTTACTTTAAATTTTGAAATTTAAATATAGTATACAAATTCTATTGGTTTATTCTTTACCCTTCAAAATTTTCACATTTTCATCCCTTCACAAACCAAAGCAAATTTATCATCATCAAAAAATCTTTTTGCTTTTTTGAACAAGAAAAAAGAAATGCCAAATATTATGAAAACAACATAACCACTATCATAAAATTTTTTAAAGTTTAAAGGAAAAAAATGGGAAATGTTTACAGTGTATGATATAAAAGCGGTGAGAATGTTTTTAAAAAAAAAGGAAGCTAAGCTAAAAGAAGAGTTAAAAATCATCAGAATTACTGGAAATAGTTTCTCATTATCAAACAGGCTCTCACAAGCAGTGAAGTCTCTGAGAATCAATGCAAGCAGGTGGACACATTAGTCCAAATGCAGCATCTCGTATCTTTCGCATAGTAAAGTTGGTTTTCATCTCTACTTCTGCTTATGATTTACTGTAAAATGAGAGGTCAAGATTTGCCTTTTCTAAGACAGACAAGTGCTGGGGGGTCTAATGTATAGCATGAGTGATGATGGGTATATTAATTAATTTGATTGTGGTAATCTTTATACAACATATCAAAACATCGCTCTGTATACCTTGACTATATCTACACTTTACTTGTCAGTTCAATGTTTTTAAGTAAAAAATTTTTATATAAAAAATAAAAATAAATTTGCTTTATCCATAATGCATGTACCCTTCCCCACTATATGCTAATACCAAACCATCAGTCAAACTTGTGTACTATTTAAATTTCTGAACTATTGACATCCAATGGTAATTTAAAATGTAATGACAGAATGATGGGGAAATGATTTAAAGGATTATACCTGCTTAAGAGTTGGATGAAGCCAGATCCACAACTGCCTGCTTTCAGAACTGTCTCCAGGGGTCCTCTCAGACTTCCAAATAAATGTAACAGGTCCAAGCATTTCTCTGGGATACTTATTTGCTCGATAAAGCATGAGGCTCCCTTGGCGCTTTCCAGACAAGCAGTGAACTGCTGCAAATGTCAATCCTGACATAAACACAAGCAAAGGACGGTGATTTCGAGTGTTGGCACTGCGGCATCACCCCCGCCTAGCTACTGTTACTTATTGTCTGTCCAGGAGGGAAAAAGTTTTGGTTTGGATCATGGTTTAGATGAAAGCCTGGTACGTAAGTTCTCAGTAAATATTTATTAAGTGAATATTTAATAAGAGTTTCAAGTTGTTTCCTAAGTTCATTCTACAGAATCATAACTCACTTTATACTTAACAATGTTATAAAAAAATTAAATGCCACCCCAACTTTTCTTAAATTAACATACTTACTGGGACCGAGAACTACCTCCCACATTTTTTATATATGTTTAAATTCTAAAATGTTTACAGTAGACACTCAGTTCATGAAATGAATAGGTATCTAAGACTAAAATGGGACCCAGATTTGAAACAAGATTACCTGTGTCTAAGTTACACATTTGAGAAACTGCCTTTAGTATTTCTTCCTCTTTGCCCTTCAGCTCCAAACAACAATAGTAGGATAAATCCTGTACACAGGGAGAAACACAATTAAATTCCTTAGAATTTACATGGGACAGAACTGCTGAGAAGCCAAAAGCTACATCAGAAAACCTCTAGAGGTTCAAGAGACAGAAAAAATTACCAAAGCTAGCTAATAAGTCAAAAACTGAAACCTGCCCATTCCTATTCCATTAGCAAATATTCTTAAACCAATCGAAATCAAAGTGAATCTCCATTTAAAATGCAAGTTACTATGTCCTATTTTTTAGTAAGCAAATCTGTTTTATCCCATAATATTAAGCAAGTTCAAAGTAGTTCAAACTACCACTTCTAAGTAAAAACTTCTTCACCCCCCAAATCTACATAAGGTAATAAACTAGAACAAGCAAGACAGCAATAAACTGCAAATTTAAGCTAATATTGCTTACTCTGGTTAGCTAACGCAGGACCTCAAGATTATATAATACTGAATCTAGAGATACACCATTACAATTAATTTATCCCACCCTCAGTTTTGACCATGATATGCAACTCTGACTACCCACTGTACAAGTAATGAGAGGTAATGAGAGTGAGAGGTTACCAATTTAAGTAAGAAAGAGAACGTGGATTGAGTCAGTGAAATAAATGTAATAAAGGGAGCTAACAATATTTAATAGTCACTGAAGGGTTACCAGGTGCCAGGCAATAGGCTAACTCCTTACATGGACTGTCATTTAGTTCTCCCAACACCCTAACAAACCAGATACTACTGTTCATATTTCACAGATGAGGATACCAAGGAACAGAGACGGTTACTTGTGCAAAGCCACAAAGTCAAGGGCAGCCAACATTCAGATCAGGCTCCCTGAACCCACATCAAGCCCTCTGCCACAACACTGTTAGCAATTTCCATATACTCAGCAACTGACCCTAAAAGGTGAATTACAGCTGTGATTCTGGCAAATTCTGACCAATTGATGCCATCACTAACACAGAAATCTTCCTATCAATAGTCCCTTGCTCTCAGTTAACAGTGGCCAAGAGGAATCTCATCAGAATTTGTACAACTGGGTGACAGCACAGAATAATGGTGAAGAGTGTGGAACACTGAAGTCTGACAACCTGGGATCAAAGTTCAACTTTACCACTCATTGTCTGCTTGGTAGTAAAATACCTCACCTTTATGTACCTTAAGTTTTCCTCATCTGTAAAATGGAAATAATGGTAACTATCTCCCTTTTTCTGCTTGTTGTTGTAAGAATTAAATAAACACACATGTAAATAATTTAAAACAGAGCTGGGCATACATTAAGCACTCAGAAGTATTTATTATTATTAGCTATCACTTTTATTATTTAGGGCTGATCAAATGTGAAGAAAATATTTGATAACTTCAATCAAAGATTCTGTCTCTACCCACCACCCTGCCAAAAAAAAATATGCCCCAGAGATTGAGGTTATGGCTCAGTGTGGCTTATCTTATACTATAGACTTATACTAAGACTATTTACCTCTAGCACCCAGCGAAGCACCTGAGTAATCATTTTTAAGGTGGGCACCTTCACAGATAGGACTTGGCATAACATGAATTAGTCAAAAAGTCAATATTGTGGTGGACACAGTGGCACACATCTATAATCCCAATGGCTCGGGAGGCTGAGGCAGTAGATCACAAGTTCAAAGCCAGCCTCAGCAAATTAGCAAGGCCCTAAGCAACTTTGCAAGACCCTTTTTCAAAATTAAAAAATAATAATAAAAAAGGGCTGGGGATGTGGCTTGATGGTTAAGTGCTCCTGGGTTCAATCCCTTGTACCAAAAAACAAAACAGAACAAAAACTCATCATCATAAAGGGACTAAACAAAAATAGAAAGAAACCCCACTGGAAAAGTATACCTGGAGAAGGCAAAGGTTTGTCATGGCTCGATAGCAGGCTCTGTGGCTCTTGACTGTCGGCCTCTCTCCAAGGCAGTAGCCCCACTTCTTGACCATGTGAAACCGTTTGGCATGCCAGATGTGAGTTTCCAACCATATGTTCTTCTTTTGTCTACGGTTAAATTCTTGCATTCGGTTTATATGACATCTTCGAGCCTTATGGCATTTATTTTTGGAATGTTCTTTTTTCTGATGTACAGCTTTCTCTGCCTATAGGTTCAAGAAGAGAGGCAAATCCTACTTTGTAAGCACCTCAGAACCAAATTAAATGTTAGGAATTCAAACAACCAACTTTAGATTAAGCTGTAGAGTACTTTACAGACCCCACTCATTTGCTTAATAACTTAATAACTCAGAAGTTTCTATAGCTTAGGTAGAGAATGGAGACCACGGGAAGAATAAAGGTTTTAGAGACAGGCATAACTCTAATGCTAATTATACAACCTTCGTGGACTACGAAGATAAAAGTATTTATAACATGTTCAACATAGCAACATAAGCTTAATATGGCTATTAATAGAAAAAAGAATAAATCAAATGCTAGCTCATTGATTTTGTTGTTGTTTTAACCTGTATGATTGTAACTAAAACCAAAATTTTAAGACCAAAACTACCAAGTGGGGAAAATCCACTCATTTTAATTCAGTTAGGCAAACACTAAGTGCTATCTCTAAGAAAGAGACCTTACGTTAAATTCAGAAAGCAAAAATTACTGGTTAGTTTTTACTTTTAAATCTCTTCTATAGTCAAACTAAACTTCCAGGAAAAACAATTCTCTATTAGTTTGTGATCCCATTAAGGATAATAACTTATAAGTTTTATAATTCAAAACTTCAGTTTGTTGAACTATAATCCCAGCACCAGGAGAGCACTAGTACATAAAAGGCCACTCAACAAATATATCTGGAATTGACTGGTAAAGACATGAGCAGCTTAAACAATCTTAACAATGTTCAAATCCAGAATTCTGGTGAAGCCAAAACACAATCAGATTTGTTATCAAAATTAAAACCAAATTCAAGCTAGGTGCAATGGCATATGCCTGTAATCTCAGAGACTTGGGAGGCTAAGACAGGAGGATCATAAGCTCAAGACCAGCTTCAGCAATTTAGTGAGGCCCTACACAAGTTAGTGAGACTCTGTCTTGAAACAAAAAATTTTTAAAAAGGCTAGAGACTGGGGCTGGGGCTGTAGCTCAGTGGTAGAGCACTTGCCTTGCACGTGTTAGGCACTGGGTTCAATCCTCAGCACCACATAAAAATAAATAAAGGTATTGTGTCCATCTACAACTAAAAAAATATTAAGAAAAAAAACAAAGGCTAGAGATTAGCTCAGTGGTAAAGTGCCTCTGGGTTCAATTCCAAGTACAAAAAAACCAAGTTCAAGTTTTTAACTTTGAAATATCAAATGGCAAACAGATGATGGTACCTTGTTTTAAAAAAAAAACTTTATTAAATATAGAAGGTAAACCTCAACAATTTTTTTTTTTAAAGACAGAGAGAGAGGAGAGAGAGAGGGAGAGAGAGAGAAAGGGAGAGAGAGAGAGAGGGAATTTTTTTTAATATTTTTTTTTAGTTTTCGGTGGACACAACATCTTTATTTTATTTTATTTTTTATGTGGTGCTGAGGATCGAACCCAGCGCCGCGCACATGCCAGGCGAGCGCGCTATCGCTTGAGCCACATCCTCAGCCCCTTCAACAATTTTAACAGTATTTAAAAAGAGAGGTTCCAAATGCTACATTATAAAAGCATCTGTAGTACCCAATTGCCTCTAATTTGACACAGGAGGGTAGAGAAGGCTGGAAAAGGATTAAACCAAGAATATGCAAATAAAAAAAGGATGCCATAATGAGTATGATGTATTCTGGTCTTCCTTTTAATAAATTATTTTCTTTATATTGTATTTTTAGTTGTAGATGGATACAATAACTTTATTTTATTTATTTATTTATTTTTATGTGGTGCCTCATATATGTGAGGCAAGTGCTCTACCACTGAGCTACAACCCAGCCCTAACAAATTATTTTAGGCTACTACATCTCGAGTTCTTTCAGGAACTACTAACCTAAAGCACTGACCTAAATATTTACCTCTTTCTGGGCCATCTCCTGTAACCGTCTAGGGAGGCGTTTGACGTTGTGGCTCATGGCTCTTCGTCTCATGTGTCGTGGCAGAGTCTGGAAAACCAGCGAATTAGAAGACTTCTGGGTCACAGCTTTTAACATGGCACTGATTTCAGCAGCTCGTGCTTGAGCAAATGTAGAAGCTGTCAAAGGAAAGGATGTCATTGAAAACAAGCCTTGAATCTGCACCTTTTCTGGTGGGTTTCAAAAGAAGACAGGTTTGAGGAATGTGTACTTTCAGCTCACTGACTACTCTGACCACATATCTGACTCAATCAATGTCAGTGGTTATTCTGTTAAATCACCGTGAGAGATTCTTCTTCAACTTTTACACTTTTCAAGTCTTCCATTATAATTCAGTTTTACTTTTTCAGTTACAAAAAAGAGTTTAAAAAAAAACTTAACAAGGAATTTTTTAAAATATGTTTTTGTTGTTGTAGATGGACACAATATCTTTATTTTACTTATCGTCATGTGGTGCTGAAGCTCAAAACCCACTGCCTCATGCATGCTAAGCAAGCGCTCTACCACTGAGCCAAACCTCAGTCCTACAAGAATTTTTTAAAATAGGACTCTACATGTAGTATGGGTGTGTATGTGTGTAATATAATCACAACCATTTTTGTTGGAGCTTTTATTTTTAAAGACAGGTCTTGCTAAGTTGACCAGGCTGGCTTTGAATTTCTGGGTTCAAGAGATCCTCCTGCCTCAGCCTCCCCAGTAGCATGCCACTATATTCAGTTTCACAATTATTTTTAAGTGCAATAATTGAACAAGAAAACAAAGGGGGGGAAGAAACCAAAATTTTAACAGAGGTTTTGACTCAAGATCTTCTTTCTTAATATTTTTACTGCTTGTTCCAAATGTAACAAATATTGGTTTTCTTTATTGTGATTTTTTTTTTTTTGAAGAGTAAACAGGGTGCTAGAGAAATTCAAGTGAATTAATTCAAGAAGGCATGGACAGACCAAGTATGTGCAAGGAATAAAGGATTTATATGGTAATGGAGATGGAGGTGATAAAGAGACAATGGGAGATGAGGCTGGAAAGGGCTGGTGATAGGCCTTTAAATACAGTCTAGGTATATTAAATTTGGTTCCATCTTTGAAGAATGCCATGCTGAAGAGTGTGGACTGCACATTTACAGAAGTTAACAGTTCACAACTAAAGACTTATAAAATAGGTAAAAAAAAAAAAAAAGGACAGAAAATGAAGGCAGGAGAACCATCAGGCCTAAGGATGTTGTGGCTAAAGTCCAGACTGGAGGTGAGAAGGGCCCAAGTGTGTACAACACAGGAAAGAAGCAAGGGAGGCAGCCAAGGCAGTGCAGAGGGCAATGTGCTGGCATAACTGCGGCAGTAGAAACAATGAGCTCCCAACACAACCAGATTGTACTTCCGTCAATACCCACCGGTTATATACTTGGGGATCTCTTGGGAAGTGCCATCAGGACCTGCTTTCCAGCCTCCCTTTTTTTTAAACATGATTTTGGAGGAAGACTGCTCATTCACACTAGGCTCAGGCAGTGAATGAAGGGTCATCTTGGTTTGCCGCTGTTGTGAAGTTCCAGAATGAAGCTCTAGAATAGTTTCAAAAAGAAAACAAAAAGAAATATGTCACTCTTACCAAGGATAAGCATTACAGTGTAGAAGTAACACCTGTTGAGGACAATCGCCCTATAAAGTGATTATAACTATTTCTTTTTTTAAAAATTTGTTTTAATTAGTTACACACGACAGTACAATGACCTTGACGTATCATACATTGGAATCAGATGGAATATAATTTCTCATTTTTCGGAGTATACAGGTTGCAGAATCACATTGGTCATGCATTCACATATATACACACAGTAATAATAATGTCTGCTTCATTCTATTATCCTTCCTATCTCCCTAACCCCTCCCCTCCCCTCCCATCACTTCTATCTACCTAATCTAGGGTAACGCTATTCTTTTTTTTTTTCTCACATCTTCATACATGTATTTTGTATAACAACGAGAGTCTCCTTCCACCACCCATGCAACTTCCTACTATTTCTTTTTTAAAAGGAGGGACTTAAGCAGGGAAGTCAAATAACTTGTCAAGGTCAGAAAGCTAGCAGGCAGCACAGCAGAAAATCATGTCAGAATGATGAAAACTTTGAACATAACAGATACAAGAAAATTTTCTTCACTGAGTATTTACAGTACAACATGCACTTTCAACTAGGCTCCTTACTATGGTCTAAATGCTATGTGCCCTGAAATCCACATGTTAAAGTCATGAAGGTAATGCTATTAAGAGGTATGGCCTCTGGAAGATGATTACATTATGGGAACAGAGTCGTCACAAATGAGATTAGTGCCCTTACAACAGAGGCTCCAGAGAGACCCCTCACCCCTCCACTACATGAGGACATGAGGAGAAGGTGCCATCTAGGAACCAGACACAGGACCCTCAACAGACACTGAATTACTGCTTGATCTTGGGCTTCTTAGCCTCTAGAACTGTGAGAAATAAATCTGTTATTTAGAAGCTACTTAGTTTATGATATTCTGTTATATAGCAACCTGAATGATGCTCCCTGTAATTGTGCATTTGGTCTTACACTAATTATCTGGCACAACAACAACCCAGAAGCCATTACAGAAGGAATGCAAATTAAAGTCCCTACACAAATGACAGGGCATTTGAACCATTCTGCCTTTAACATAACATGACTTCTGTCTGTGAACAGAGAGAGGACTCGGTGGAGAATTTTACTTATTTCCACTGTGGTGTGAATTAGTACATCATGTAATCTTGAATATGTACATGGTTTGTCATTCTGAGTTTTAGCTGAAATAATATGCACGAAAAGCTTGTCACTGCATGGCAGTCCTCAACTACTGAATCTGAATCTAGATCTTGTGACTTTAGATCTAAAATTTATTTAACCAAAAATTTATTTAAAAGCACAGCTTTTGCTGTCTTCCCAAGATAGCATTTTCTACTGCTGTTCCCATGAACAACTATCACCTTCCTATCACTTCATAAGGTTCTAAAATCAGCACACAAGTTAAATACAGATATGAAAATGTACCCTATTTCTCTTAGGAAACACAGAAGTATAAATAACAATAAATTTTAATGCAGTAATAAAATATATCAGCTTTAAAACATGCACAGTCATACTATAGTAGTCATGTTCTATAAAGTCACAGTGAACACTGAATTAGTGAACACTGAACCACTGTTCCTAGAGGGGACAGATGACAAGTAGAAGATAATTTTAAAAGCTAAAAACAACTCATTCTGGTAGATTCTATTTCTTTTCTTCTACAAAAGAGAAAATTAAGTTCAAAAGGGTTAAGTGGCTTGCAAGAGGCCACCCCACAGATGAGACTTAAACCACAGGCAGAACTCCATCTCTGTGTGAAAGCTGACAAGGAGACAGCTGGGAACTTATACCTAGGGCAACTTGAATTTCTTCCTGTTCTGTGCATGTCCAAAATGACGGCCAAAGCTCTATAAATGTTGATTTGAGGGTTACAAATACATTTCACCAACTTGGCAGATTTGCCAATACGAAATTTGAGAATACTGAGAGTCTGTTGTATCTAGTTTTATTTCAGTCCATTTACTATTTAGGTAATGACTATCAAAAGAACTGGCAAAATTCACTCTAAATGGAAGTGGAGAGAACTTCATGTCATCTTACCTTGAGCTTGGAAAGGTTTCCCTCCTCCATTATGGAGCTTTACACCTCTATCAGCCACAAAGCCAGAGGATAAAGTCACATTAGTGGGCTGGTTTCTCATTTTCTTAGCATATTTTCTTTCTTTTGCATTAGACATTTCTGGAATGGAAGTGATACATTTAGTACAAGGAGAGGAAACTCCCATTCAAAAATAATAAATTCAACAAATATTTATGTAACACAAAATTGGATTCTTCAATATAATGCCTTCATTTACTATGGTTAGACTATTGAGACCATATTGATCTACAGCAGGGAAATTTAAAGGAGGCTGTAAATGGCTTTAACATCAAAAACTTGTTTCAAAATAAAAAAATAAGTTTATTGATGGAAGATTCCCTATTGGAACATTCCAGTCTAGGTTGCCAAGTAATTAAATCTTACATAAATGTTGACACTGCATAAAGTTTGTTGAAAGAATAAAACAGCAGATGAGATCACCATGCATGATAAAAAACTGAAATTAGTTAAAACATTTCATATTGATTCTTAGATGAAATAAGAGTCACCCAAATCAATGAAATTTAAAACACTCTACTTCAAACTGAACATAGGTTATTGATGTTTTCAGTTTTATTGCTGAGAAAAGGCTAACTATATGTTTAATCTACGATAGCAATAGGTAATGATTTCAACTTGAAATAAAAAGGACAAAGGATAAAAGCCTAGTAGAGCCTGTCTGATTCACTCAGTGGCTCCTCAAACACAAAAGGTCCCTTTTGAGAGAGGTTCTCTCAAATACTACAGGTCCCTTTTTTCACTGATTCAGTCTGAAACACTTGCTTTTTATTTTGAAATAAAAATCATTAATAATAACCTATTGGTGACATAACTATTATCAACACATACCCTGCAATACATGCCCCAACTATAACATAAAGAGCTAAAAAGTAATTTTAATAAAACAATATGCATTTCTGTATGCAACTATTTCACCACTATACTAGATGACATTATGAAATAGACATTTTGAACCCACAGAACAATCACCGACACTGGCAGCACAGGCACTGATACAAGCCATAAAGCTGGAGAAGGGTCCTGGAAGCTCCCACCCCAAGCAAATTATTAACTCTTTCCTTGCTCACTGTAAAGAAGTCCAAAAGGTCCTGCAGGCGACACCAGGAGGTAGGGAATCTCAGAGTGCAGACACTTACCAAGCTGTTTTCAATGCATTTAAATATTCTAATACTATTTCTACCTATACGTAGAATGACCATAGTGGCAACAGCTACAGTGGCAGAACAATCCACATGTATTCTACTTGTGCCTCAAAAAGAACAGTATCACTGGTGATATAATTGTTCAAGCTGGTAAACACTCCTTGGTAAAGAATCCCCTCTCAAAAAAAGTACAACATGGCTTTGACTTATTTCATCCCTACAAAATTCAGTATACATTAAAAATGTGCAACCAATACTTTTACATAAAACAGACTTTGGCTTTGGGTTACTTTGGGGCTTTTCTGCATACACAGGGTATCTAACATTCCTGCCCCTGGCCCACAAATGCCAGGGGTGTTACCCCAATCATTATGCTAATCAAAACATTGTACTAACTTCCAAAATCCCACATCAGGATTTGTACCACTTCCATAGAGAGCCACTTAATTAGCTACCACCCATTCACTTAGCTCCTTTTCCAGTGCAATACATGTAAAAAATTAAGAGTTAATTTTTTAAGAGTGGTATAGTGTTTAGAAACCTTCACTTTAGAGTTAGAAAGATCTGGATTCAAATACCTTCTTAACACTTTTGGTTATAGAATCTTAGGAAAATTACTTTTCTTCTATGAGCTTCATCTCCTCCTCTACAAATGGGAATTATCACAAGGTAGTTGTGAGAAATAAGTCACATATACATAAGTACTGGCTTTACAAAATGCATATACATAACTCACTTAGCATAGGGCTTTGTACAAACTAAATGATCAGTTTACAAGTGTTATTATTCTAAAATAATATATCTACACTCTGAAATATTTTTTAAATTAAGCAATATGTAGAGTTCTGCATAACTGGTTGGCTAATGAAACACATGATTCAGAGTAGTTTGTATTAAGAACAATTAAAAATAGTTTACAAAACAATTTAGTCCACCAACATTACCTACTTGAATCAAAACTAACCCAAGAAGACAAAGCACACTACCTAGGATCCCTAGCTCAGGATTAGAATGAGCCAAAGGAAGGCTGGTGTTGGGATATTAGGGTAACCTTGGGATACCACATCTCTGAACTTTGGTTCTAGACTTAAAAAATGAGCACACTGAGCTAGCAACAGTCCTCAAACAGTTCTTTGGCTTTGGGTTGTGAATAAAGAATGTATCCTTTGAGATCTGAGATTTCACTTAAAACAGTTTCCAGAAGGAATCTTTATTTTTATTTAAGCTGTAGATGAACAGAATACCTTTATTTTATTTATTTATCTTTATGTGGTGCTGAGGATTAAACCCAGTGCCTCACACATGCTAGGCAAGCACTTTACCACTGAGTCACAGCCATAGTCCCTCCAGAAGGAATCTTTTTTTTTTCATATTTTTTTAGTTGTTGATGGACCTTTATTTATTTATATGTGGTACTGAGAATTGTACCCAGTGCCTCACACATGCTAGGCAAGTGCTCTACCACTGAGCTACAAACCCAGCCCACCAGAAGGAATTTTAATGCTTATAACGTTCAAGTGGATTTTACATCTATTCCTAGTATTCATATTTTGTTTTCATGTTCATTCATTTCTTTTTCCTTCTTTCTCATGTTCATTCAGTCAAAACTTTAATGAGTATTAAATATGTCAGCTTTATAAAAATACTTTCCCTACATCTTCAAATAAAATGGATATGTCATGTTTTCTCAAAGAGCTTAGAATCTGGTTGAACAGATACAGCTATGTATAGTGGACTCCAGTTTGAGAACCTAGGGGGGGAAAAAGATAATCTCCATTTTCCTTCCAGATCTAAAAAGTTGGTGATTCCTGCTTGATAAGAATGAAGTACCTTGTTTCACAAGTAATATTTTAAACAGTCAAATTATTTGTAATGCTCCAAGAGAGCCTTATTTAAAAAAATCATAGTGATTTTTTTTCCTTTTTAAATATTTTTGTTAGTTATTGATGTACTTTTATTTATTTATTTATTTGTTTATATATGGTGCTGAGAATAGAACCCGAACCTAGGCACATGCTAGGCAAGCACTTTACCACTGAGCCATGATCCAGCCCCAGTGAATTGTTTTATAAATAAGAATCACCTTTTAATTATCCAGTTTAATCAATATTAACAAGATTTGGGGTACCTACAATGTGTTTAATATAGTTTCAGGTCATGTTTATACCAGTATCAGGATGTGATCATTTTCCTTTAAGAATTTAGTCATCTTAAGCAGCTAACATTAATTGAGAACTTTGTGCCAGGCACTGCTGCATGCCTTATTCATTTAATTGTTACAGTTATATGAGAGGTACTTGTGTTATCTCATTTTGTAAATGAGGAAAATGAAACACAAAGCAGTTATTCCACCCATATCCACTAATCTTATGATTGTCCTGGAATTCAGGATAGTCTGGATCAGGCAGTCTGGTTCTAGTCACCATATTCAAACATAAAATAATTAGAAAATAAGACCACATGTAATAAAATGTTAAATTTTGCAGTATAGCAAAACAGGAAACTGGAAATGAGAAAGAAAAAAATGTGTATCAGCAGAAAAAAATCAGTAAGAACACAGAATTTCAGTTAGTTGGAATTTGGGCAGTTAGGGAAGAAGGAGTATTCAGGAATCTTCTGTGTGAGTATAGGATTGAGAACTCGGATGACTAGAGTGGGAAGACAAAGAAGAAATAGGCTAGAGAAGGACAGACTGAAAGATCTCATATTCCAGGCTGGAGATCTAAACCAATGAAAAAGATATGAAGGAGAGAATAGGAAAGGCAGCAGAATACAACATACACTAGTATGGCAGTATGTAAAAAAGTGGATGTGTAACCAATGTGATTCTGCAATATGTATACGGGGTAAAAATGGGAGTTCATAATTCGCTTGAATCAAATGTATGAAATATGATATGTCAAGAGCTTTGTAATGTTTTGAACAACTAATAAAATAAATAAATAAATAAATAAAAAGAAAAAGATCTGAAGGTTCCTGAGACAGAAGGAAAGCAAAACCTTAACAGTATGTAGGCCAAACAAAGGGATTTTCTTATAGTACATTTTGAAAGCAGGGAGGACAGAGACCTCACCTTTTTTTAACTATTGCATTCCCAGAACTTAGCAGACCGCCATGCACAAAGTAGGGGAGACGTATATATTACACTAACGCACATTACTTAATATGTGTGTGTATACTGTATATGTATTTAATGTACACAAGCATTCATAAATGAAGAAGTGGAGCGTGCCTATATTACACATATTAACAGGATGGGAGATATTTAGCCCAGTACCATTCCTTCTGACAATGTATGATCTGTACATAGACCAGCTCTGGGATACTAGCCAAAGCAAGATCACTATCTTTTTTTTTCCCAGTCAGATCTCATTCCCTGTTCAGATCCTAGGAGACCCTTTAAAGTCAGAGACCGGAATTTGGGAGGGGTGGGAAGAAGAACAACGCCTCTCGACATGGTCCCCTGAAAGACCCATCCTTTAGGGTGGCAGAAGGGCTGCAAGCCTACTCATCCTCAGAACGGCTTCCACCTACCGGGGGCAATGCCGGGAAATAACAGACTTGGTGCACGAGAAGGTTCGGAACCGGGAAAAAGGGTCCCGGGGGCAGGCAGAGAGGAAATAAAGACCAGCAATCTGAGAGAGAGGGAAACCGGGCAGGAGCTGGGAGTAGCCACACACACCCCCCCCCCCAAATTCGAGCACCTTGGCAGCAGGCATCAATGCTTCACGACCTACCTACCCGACGTTCTGAGGGATCCTGGGGTCAGAATGACAAGCCTCTGCGACAGTCCCCTCAAAGGCGACTTACGCGGTGAGCGAGATGCACGGCGCATGCGCCAGCCCGGCGCTTCCTCCACGTGGCGCGGAGTCGCACTCAGACTGCAGTTCCCAGAATACCTAGCGAGCGCGCTCCCCGGGTCCCTCCGGCAGAAGCAGCCCGGGTCTGGTCAGTTGTTGGGCGAGAATCGGGCAGGGCTGCTGAAGGGGTACCTTCTCTAGGAGGGGCGTAAGAAAGAAGACTGAAATGTCGTCATTGATCAGAAAGGTGATCAGCACCGCGAAAGCCCCAGGGGCCATTGGTCCCTACAGGTAATATGGCTTGTAGGAGCATTCAGGGACCCGAGGCGTGTGAGGTGGCGGGGTCGGAGCTGCGGCCCCTCGGGGGCCAAAGAAGTAAATCTCGGCACAGATGTGGTTGTCTTTTATAACGACAGCTGAGATCTTGGAAATGCTTCACAAATCCCTGCACACCTACCCAAGCCCCTCGTTTTACAATATGCAGAATAGTTCTAATGGGCAAAGAATAGGAATGCATTTGTGATTCTTATGAACTCATTGTGCATACCCATTTACCACTAACAAATCAAATGCAAATCACAACGAAGATAATTTTCTAAGAATGCCCCAATATATACTAGCTAATATACGGATACTGGCCAGAAAGTCTGCCCTGTGTGTCTTTATTTCTACATGTCAGAAGTTCTTTTAAATAGGCTTCTTTAAAAAAAAAAAAATGCACACAGGCACAGTTTTTTAAAATCTCAACTTTAAAACCATTGGATTTTATTTTATGTGTTCTTGCATTCTTTTTTCCTAACATAATTGTTATTCTTTTAAATTCTTCACTAAAGCATATCCTATAACCATTTTTCCTTTTTAAAGTATAGTGTCGGTTCACTATTAAAAGAAGCAAAACTAGAAAGTTTCTATAGCTGGAACATTTTAACTATGGCAAACATATGTTGAATCCCTCCTACATGCCCAGCATTTGAGGGATACAAAAATGCATACGAAGAAATCCATTGGGAAAGGCCTTCACACACATGGAGGAAAGAAAAAGGTTAGTTTAGTGCAGGTTTTATGACAGTCACTATAGCAACCACCTTTTTCTATTAATTCCTACCCATTTTTTACAAAAAGAAAACTGAAGCTTGACAAAGTCAAATTGTCGAAGGTCAGTTAATCTATAAGTGACAACTTGATTTGAACTCAAGCCCTAGCTTCCTCCTCTAGGGCTTGAGAAATAGCACTCAAGTGTGGCAGAACAGTAATTATTATAGTAAGATTAGAAATAAAATGTATTGGTAAAGGAACAAATGGGAAAGAAGAAAAAAAAGAGAAAATAGTTCTAATGGGCAAAGAAAGAAAAAGATTTAGGGATGCTCCTTGTGAGAAGTAGTCCCTGAATTGAGTTTTGAAGGTTGGTTTTGTCACATATAGAACTGTTGTGAAACTTTGTTAAAAACATTAGCAGGATGTCATGGAGTGAAGGGCATTCCAAATAGAAGACCACTGAGAAGTGGTCTAACAATTTGAATTTCAGGCAATGGGCTCTAGAAATCAACCTTAATCATTTAGTTTGCTATCTTCAGGATAGAAAAATTGAAAAAGGATTGAAAAGGGAATGATTTTTGTACTGTGATCCACTGTGTGACTGACCCTTTGGGAATTAATTCCTTAAGAGTTGGATTTTACATTTGAAAATTTTGTTTTGTGTATTTTGAATTGACCTTGCAAGTCTGACTTAACTTTAGTTTTCTTTGTCTTCCAAATGGACTCCACTATAACACTACTTCATAAGATTACAGTAGGGATTAAATATGAAGTGACAGAAATTTGATTTTAGCAGAGGCCAGGTTGTGGCGGTTTCCATTGCTGAACAAAAGAGTTTGTTTTGTATGTAGTGAGAAACCATCAGGTGTTTTTGAGCAAGAAATAACCAGATCTCTTTTAAGAAGAGAATTCTGAGAGTATTTTGGATAGAAATTGTGAAGAAAAAGAGAGCATAGTTAAGAGATACTTCAATATAACCAAAAATCAGTAATCTTTTTCCTCCTTCTGCCCTAAACTCTCTCCCTAAATCATACAGTGTTAGCATTTAGAGTAACACTTTTTGTTTACTTCAGAACAAAAGTGACCCTTAACAAAAACCAAAGTGATGTTATACAAGACACTTTGTCCTAGAACCTGCTAAAAGCATTCACCTCTCTTGACCTATTTAGAAATACTGTGTTCTTTGTTGAAGAATGAAAACATGTCATGAATATTCTTGGTTGACTTGGAAGTGGAAGCTGCTAACAGAACAGAGGGGAATCTATGAGTGTGCCAGTGTGACAGAAAGGCCATTAGCCAGCTTCATGATAAAGACTTTCCAGGACCTTGTATCCAAAGGATACAAACACAGGTCACTATTTTCAATATTTTATGGTGAAGAAAAACACTCCAACTATTTATATCCTGATAAAGTCAACTGGACATATTTTAAGAACCATTTGGAAAGAAGAGTTTTTGTACATGGAATTTGTAGCAAGTACAGTTTTTGAAAATTCTGGGTCTTCTCCAGAAAGAATTCTAGTGAGTTGAACTGTCAGTGCCCGGCCTTGGGATGATGGGGTGCTGTCATTAATTAGCTAGACAGTTCAGCACATTTTGAGATACTTCAGGACAGAACCTTGAGAGATTGCAACATCATGATGTTATTGCATTGCTTTCCATTTTGCTATTACGCCCCAAGCAGTCCTAATGCGACATAGATTATGACATGAGAGTTAATGATTTTGAAAGTGTTTTTACCCTTTGACCTCAAAGCAGAACAACATACTTTAAAATTTTCTGGAACCTAACAACTTATCTATGCCTATCTGCAGATAGGAAGTGGAATTCTTATATTCAGTATCAAGGGGCCTGGGAGTGTAGCTCAGTGGTAGAGCATTTATCTAGTATGCACTCGGCTCTTGGTTCCATCCCAGCATCTCACACACACACATGCACCAAGTTTTTGTGAACAAAACCTCTTTAAATCTCCAAGAAATGACTCACATAGCTCAGATAGTCTGAATTCCAATTCTTACTTTTAATAGTCTGAAAATAAGTGGATTATTTACACTTATTATTTAGTTTTTGATAAATGATAATACATATGGGCTTGAAGTATGTTTCAGATATGGGGAGAACTGAAAGTATTTTGCAAAGGGCCCAGAGCAGATGGCCTAATGGACAGAGGAGTTAAGGGACTTGTTAGCTAATGGTAACTGTTCAACCTGAGAAAAGGTTACAAATTAACGAGCTCAGTAGTTACTTATTTGCAAATTAGAGTGAAAGCCAGATAGTTGAAAAGAATTCCTAGACTTTTTAAATCCTATTACTAAATTTAAATCTATCTTCTTCAGCTCTCCAAAACCTACATTATGAGCCAACGGGTACTCCTAAAAAGATATTTATTGATAGCCAAAATTGTTTATGTTACTAAATGGTTAGAGGGCAAAATATCAACAAGTAGTTATATCGTGCCTGCTGTGTATATCCAAGGGACCAACTGGTTCCAGCACAGCTACAGAAACATGACCAGACGCTGGCCCTAGGATACCCTGGAAGATAGGGACTATCAGACAGTTTCCTGTACTGCCATAAGAAAGACTCAACCAGAGGACCCTGGAATCTGGGCTCGGTTACTTGCTCAGTAGAAGTGTGCATGGAGTTGTGTGTTTGTATGTGTGTGCATATGTGATGGTTTTGAATGTAGCTTTATTTATAATAAAATATTGAAAGCAAAGTTGATCAGGCAAACAAAGTATACGCAATGAAGTATTGTGTAACTATTTTTAAAAAATCAAGGAAAAATTTTACATATAGTTATAGAAAGATCTTTGTGATACACTGTCGGGTGAAAACATCAAGTGTACAATAGTGTTTAATATACCATATTTTGTGTAAAAGGAAGGAGATAAATATATTTGTTTGGTTCCTATATACACGAAGAAACTTTGGAAGGTTACATAAAGGAAAACCTTATCTGAGAATAATTAATGTTTTTAGTGCTCTTGGCATTGCATTTTTCTGTTTTACAGCTTAAATGATGTGTAAGTACTTATTTAAAAGATGCTTTTTAGGTATAGAGTTTCATGAGTTTTAGTAAACATAGAGTCATATCCACTACCACAATCAAATTTTAGAACATTTCCATCACATACACCACCCACGCCCCCCCACCCCAAAAATTCCTTCAAACTTGTTCATGATCAGTCCTCGCCCCTGGACCCAGCAAACAACTAATCTACTCTCTGTTATCATTTTTCTCTTTTCTAAAATTTCATATAGAGGCTTAGAGTACTAGAGCACTTGCCTAGCACATCTGGGGCTCTAGTTTAATTGAAATTAAACAATTAGATCTATGAAAATTTTTATTTATTTATTTTTAATTTTTTTGGTGTCATGAACAATGCTGCTCTGAACATTTATGTAAAGGCTTTGGACATACATTTTTATTTCTCTTAGATAGTTGCTGCCTAGGAAAGAAACTACTAGGTTGTGTGTTGAGTATATGTTTAAATTTTTAAGATACTGCCAAAATTTTCCAAAATGGCTGTACTATTTTGCTTTCCTACAAACAGTATATGTGTTTCTCATTGTTTTACATCCTCACCAATGTTTGTTATTATGAGTGAAATGTATGGTGGTATATTATTATGGTTTTGCTCTGCATAGGTACCTCTAGTGACTGACCTTGAGCATCTTTCATGTACTTCTTAGCTCTTCATAGGTCTTCTTTTGTGGAGTGTCTATTTAATCATTTGCCCTTTTTTAAAAAAAATATTTTTTATTTTATTTATTTTTATGTGGTACTAAGGATCAAACCCAGTGCCTCACATGTGCGAGGCAAGCGCTCCACCAGTGAGCCACAACCCCAGCCCTCATTTGCCCATTTTTAAAATTAGGTTGTTCATCTTCGTATTATTGAGTTTAAAGAGTTCTTCACAATTTTTTTTAAAAAAGAGTTCATATATTCTACCTACAACTCCTTTATTAGATGGATGTTTTGCAAATATTTTTCTCCCAGTCTTTGATTT